AAAAAAAAAAAAAAAAAAAATCGCGATTTCGTCAAAAGAGATGCGCGCGGGGATGATAAACTAATCATTTTTTTTATGGGGCCTTATTAATATTAAAAGCAATATTAAACAAAATGTAATCTAAGGTTTATTAAAGATTATACAAAATTTTAAAATAATTTTTTTTTTAAATTAAATTTGTAACATGGTCAAAACTCACTGATAAGCCAATATTGCCTCTTTGATAGTCATCTCAGGTTCACTGGGCTTCTTGGTTTTTCCTCCCTTCTTCTTTCCAGCTTTCTTACCACCACCCTCTTCATTTTTCTTTCCTTTCTTCTTCCCCATTTTGTACAATATTTATTGTCTCTGTATATACCTTCAGAATATAAACAACTATTGAACAAAATTTCAAAAATTCATGAAGCAGGCCCTAGGCTAGTAGCTACTCTATTACCTACTACATACAGGTATTGCGTAGTCTTACTACAGCAGTACTACTTGCCTAGTCTTAGATAGAAAAGAAGTCACCCAAGCTGTGGCCTACGTGGCCTGGCCAGCTAGGAGTAGGGCCTAGGCCTAGAGGAACTATGCCGTAGGCCTATGCTAGCTGGCAGACGAGGCCTAGGCCTAGCTAGCCTACCTAGCCCTAGTTCAAATTCAATACAAACGGTTACTATTTATTGTAGATTGATTTAGGCCTATCTACTAGATGAAGTTGTCTATAATACACCATAATATACAGTATATGAATGCAGGTGAAATAATTACATAAAAAACGAACAATTTCCGATGGTTTTGTTGCCAAAAAACCTCAATATTTTAAACATGCGCCTCCAAGCGTTTGTCACTTAGGAACATACTTTTGTTTGTCCAGCCGCTTGCAAAAAAAGAGGGGTCGAAGGTCAGTGTTGTTAATATTAATGAAAAAACGTGGTTGGTTGAGTTGGTGGTCGGTTGTAAAGCAGCATCAACAATATGGTGATTTTTTTTTCCGCTTTTCCTAATAAATAGAGATAAATCAGGAATCTCATTTTGGATATTATTATTTTCCCCGCACTAGCCAATGTTCGTGGCCCCTCGCTTGATCCAAACACCATAGTAGTTAGTTAGGTCCCTCACTCAACCCTGCCCCTCCTAGCGCCGAACCTATCTCCTTCTGGCAGGGGTGATGATATTTTGAAAGCATGCACATGCAGAGGGACATGTAGCTGTAGGTTCTTCTATGTTGGTCCACACAGATAACTTATTGTTGCCCGTAATGTCATTGTCAATGAATGGGACCAGTGGGCGGGGTGCCAGGATTTACTTGACGAAAGAGGGAGAGGAAAGTCGCTGATAGGAGGGGAATGGCCTTCAACCCCCCCCCCCCACTGGTGCTGGTGCGACTCGTGTGTCATGGATCCCATTCATGGTGGGAGGATAACCCATTGACTAATTAATATTAAATCAGCATGATGTATAGCTCCCCAGAAAATTGCAAAGTGACATTCATTCTTTTACTGTATATATTATAACTAAATATATATAACAGAAAATATAATTAAATAAATAAATATAGATAATAAGGTATGCAAAGTATTAGAAGGAAAAAGAGCAAAAGACCAGAAAAGATAAAAAAAACCAAATCTTAAATTGGGACCATGAAATCAATTTCCTACTTTCAACTGAATTGAAATTGAGTAATTGGTGTGAGTTTGCCGGTATAAAATAAATTTTATTTTTAATTGTTTTAAATTAAATTAAATTAATTTATTCAGAAACCTAACAGTGTTAAAAAAACACCAAAAACTGGGTTGTAATAAAATATATATGGTACAAGAATATAACGGTAGTATAAACATTTAAACATTAATCTTAAACATTTAAAAATTGAATTATTGTATGCCGCCATGGTGTGAGTCGCATATATATATTATTTTTAATTTTTTTTTAAATTTAATTTTTATTTCTTTTTTATTTATTTATTCTGACACCCAACAGTGTTAAAAAAACAGGAAAACCAGGTTGTAATGAAATATATACTGTATTGGTACAAAAATATATTATAAAATTAAGCTTAAACATTAATAATCGAATTATTGCATACTTCCATTTTGTGAGTCACATTACATACAAACTGATTTTAACACTCGAAAGTTGGGTAGTTTAAATATTCAGGGAACTTTTCTGGCCTGCCAATCTACAGAAGATATGTCAAGTAGTAAAGCAGCATAGAACAACTGATAATGCAGAATACACTTTTAATCTGATATCATTAATATTATTACTTAATTACCATGAAATATTTGATTGTTCATCTTGCAGGGAAGAAAAAAGACTAAAAAGAGAGAAGCAAGTGGAGATGTGGATATAGAAATGGTCATGAAAAAACCTTTACTTTCTTCTGGTCATCAGAGTACTCCAGAAGATATCTTTAAATCTCTGCTCCAAGGTTCAAATCTAACTTTGAGTGAATTCTTTGCCAAGTACTGGGAACAAAAACCACTAATCATATCAAGAGAACAAAGAAAAACAAAAGATAATAACTATTCTGAATACTGTTCACTTGCTATATTGAAACAAATATTAAATGAAAATGACTTGAAATTTGTACACGATTTAAATGTTTGTCGGTATGTGGATGGACGCCGTGAGGACCTGAATGGTAAAGGTGTCGTGAAGGTTGGAAAACTTGAAAGCCTAATATCGAAGAAGAACGCAACTGTTCAATTTCATCAGCCACAGCGTTTCCAGGTATAAATATTCATAAAATTAGTAGGTCTTTAGTGTGGCCTTTAAAATCATTAAATTAAAAATAAAATAAAAAGAAAACCCCTCCCCCCAAAATAAACAAAACAAAAAACTTTTTTTTTTTTATGGTCATAGACTAGGCCTACTCTGGATGTTGAAAGACTATAATTCTACTACAATACTTAGTAAAACTACTGTTTAGTTGTTGAGACCCGAGATGGTCAAATGATTTTCTTTTGGCTCATGGAATTAGTCCAATTGACTACTTTTTTCAACTGGATAATATTTCTAGAAAGTTTTAGGTCATGTAAATTGTAAATTACTTGAAACCACAAACTGTTAAATGTAGAACATGTTATTATATTTATGTATTTTTTAGGATTCTCTTTGGAAGATTTGTTCATCCTTAGAGTGCTATTTTCAGTGCTTGGTTGGTGCAAATGTTTACATAACACCTGGAGGATCGCAGGGATTGGCCCCTCACTACGATGATGTTGAGGTACAGTTAGTGGTGATTTCCATGCTTTTCCTCAATGAAAAAAAACCCCCAAATTTGTTTTAATCCAAAAAATATGTTACTTATCCCATTTGTAGAATCTCCTGATGAAGTCCATTGTGTAGACAAAAGCTGGAGCTACTAAATTGTATAGTTAATCTTTAAAGTGCGGACGTATCCTTAAATCACACAAAAGAAAAAATTTAAAAAGTAAATTCCAATGAAACACAGATGAAAACAATTCATTTTTTCACTGATTTATAGACTTATATCAAAATTAATTTCTATATAATTTAAGGATTTTTATTTTGTGGTAAATTCAGAAATAGTATGTTGTACATGTTTGTAAATTGGCGATAAAACATTTTGTCAATCTAATGTTGTTGATTGTCTGTTTGGACGCTGAGTCGTGGAGGTCTCTAGGTTCCCGGTTTAATTCCCATCGCTGTCCTTGTGTTTCAGCTGGAGGGCTGAAATGCAAGTTACAATAGCGCACCGTCTTTCGGATGAGATGTTTTAGCCATTGGTCCTGTGTGCATATGGCCCTTGTGTGTGCACATTAAAGAACGCAGTACTGTACATTATTTGGGAAAGATTATGGGAGTGTCTCCTGGCTGCCCAATCACCACCAGAAGGACCCCACTGAAAATGAGTCTTCTTTAGATTTTGTGGGTTATCCTTTGTGTTTACACCGAATAAATCCATCCACCCATCTTTAACATGTTCCCTTTAGGTGTTTATACTTCAGTTGGAAGGTGAGAAGCATTGGAGATTGTATGAACTACCTGAAGAAGAGAGACTACCCAGAAACTACAGCAGAGATTTGGATCCTGCCTCACTTAACACACCTACACATGATTTTGTTTTGAAGGTTTGATTACTTCTTTACAACATTAATGATCAGTGGCGGATCCAGGATTAGGGGACCCGGGAGGGACTTTTACAGGCAGAGGGCGTAGACCACCCCAATCCCTTCATGGTTGGAGTTGAGGTAAGCAGTGGCATATCTAGGTGATGCGCGGAGAGCACACGCCTTTCTAAAAAATACTCGTGTCTTCCCAAAAAAAATCATGGTCAAGTAGTTAAAAATCACCTAAAATCACCCTTATTATGCAAATCCACTTCACCTTCATCTATATGCATTCACAAAAACTCACTAGAAAGCTATAGTATTATTCTTTATTGATTATTATTGACATGACAAAGTATAAAAATGATATAGAAATTAATTTCTCCTTTGTTTGTTATTTATGCTTTCGGCATTTCTTTTTATCTCGCATTCAATATTTTCTATCCAAAGTTTTAAAGATAAAATGACTGATTCATCAAATTGAGGCATCGTTGAACTCGAAGCAAACCTAATATTTGTCAGATTTAATACCTTCAATCTTGAATTGTACTGGTATATCGTAAATAAAAAAAATTGTTTAACAAATATTGGTTATCGTGTCATAAACTGTATTGGTTTCTACGATCTAAACCATGATCAATCTTGACCGCAGTGATACGTAGTATTTTGTCCTCCAGCTAGACTTTGACTTCATTTTCAGCATGAATGATGTCAAGATTTTTTATATATTACGCAACCATTTGGTGTTTCTCAGTCATGAATAATCCAGATGGAATTTATTAAGCAATCCTTTGCGACGTTTCGGAAAAGTATTTATTAGTTTTTATTTAATCATTATTAGTTTCCATTCGACCCTTTCATCATCATCAGCTACTGTCGGTTCACTGCTGGACAAAAGCCTCAGCATGTTGATACCATATCATCACCGTATGATCAAAGATACTACACAATGTAGAGCACTCGCATAGCAAATATGAGTCAGTACAGACGTACACGGCGCCCTTCTCTTTTATTAACGCAAGTTTTCAATAATTGGTCCAGACGCATAGGGCACCCTTCTATTGCTAAGTAAATCCAGACACACGCGGCACACCCTTCTCTTTCCACTAATGAAGGAACACTTTATCACAAATCAGAGTCCGGTCATATGATTCTGTGGTTTTGTGTTTGTCTTATTGTTTTGATTTCTTTGTATCTTATGGAAAATGGCAACGATTTCTACCTCCGCAAAGGAGGTTATGTATCCACACAAGTATCCACAGTTATGTAAGGTTGGCAGCAAGTTTTTTAGCATGCGGTGCACCATTGTTTGTATTTCCCACATGTATTTTGGCGGAACAGTTTTTTTCTGTGGAGAACTCTTGTGTTCCTAGTATCTTTGGTATGATGCATTTGTTAAAGACATTCTCTTGAGACATTGGCAGATGACCCCTCATGATTGCTGAGTTTTCCATATTGTCTCCATCCATTATTGATTCGTCTGCTCATCTAGCCGTTTTCAGACAGAGCAATATTACCACAATATTGCGGGAAAGTTCCCGGCATTGCCTTCCGTGTGAATAGCTTAGGCCTAACTGTAGCCACAATATTGCAGTTCACGGGGGGATACAGAGCTACGTTACCGCAACATTGCGGGAATCTTCCTGGCATTGCCTACTGTGTGAATAGGTCAACGCAACCACAATATTGGGGTTATTGTGATTCTGTAATGTGATTGCATAATACATTGTTGTGATGCCATATCTAAAGTGATCATAATTAATTTTTAGCACGTATAAATCCTCTCAGTCCTATTGGAAATATACACTATGAGTTTTCTGTTCAGAATCATAACCCTCAGTAAGTTTTATACATCATTGAAGTATGTCTTTTGATTGCCAAACCATCATCCATTGAGCAATGTTTAATGGGGTTGTTTTTTAAATTAGCTTTCTATGATTTTTCCCCAGAAACTCTTTCATCAATTAAAGTAGAAGCTGCACTAACAGCTGCTTGCCAACAAATGGACCTTTGCATAACCCCATTATGTATACTTCTTCCCAGGTTAATCTTTATGTGACCCATTTATGTAGTCAATTTGCCTGAAGATTTAGAAATGCATTTGCACAATAAAGGAGGTTGAATGTTTTTTTTTCCTAGCAGTGTCCATGAAATGTTGAGCTACCTTCATAATGTCAAGATGTCACTGTCCATCCTGAAATTTATGAATACATTTTACTGTAAATTTAATTTTACCGTTCTATGGATTGACAAAATCTGGTGTTTACAATCTGGCAGGGTCTAGGGAACAAAGCTAATTTCTGGAGCCTAGGAAAATTGGGCAACTTTGGGCCAATTTTAAGCTGTTTTACATTTTTGTGTTACAGTTAGTACCTATTATGGCTGACAACTGTCCATTTTTGTAATTTCATTATGTTGCAGTCAATAGATGCTTGGCCTACACAATGGGCACGGAAGCCTTGCCCTCTGACTTGTGACTTCCCTGTCCCTAGCAATGGAAACAGGGAAATGAATGAATAGTTGCAACAGTATTTTATAAAGACACATGTAAAAACTATCCTTTTATTTTGTGACCATTCATAATTCTGAAGATTAAAGAATACCAGCACCCAAACTCGTATTTTAGCCAAAAATTACATCTCCGCTGTGACCCCATGTTGCGATAGTTCAGTTGTCAAAAATTGATGTAATTTACAGGTTTTTTATGGTAGCTTGACACGAAAAAGTACTAGATTTACACTCTGTAATAATTGCTACTAGTAAGCAACTAATTAAACTATCGAACATATGCTGAATTATAGGCCTCTGCCATTATTTCCATTAATACGGTCAACGACTGTAATGGTTGCCAGTTTCACTAATAATTTCCACTAATTAACTGTAAATCATTAGAAGTAATGTACATAAAACAATTATGTAGCACAAGGCTGTATTGAAAATTATGATGACAAAGTAAACATTAGTAAGTAAATAATAAATAGTAAAATTAGAATAAAATGCTTTAAAATATATTATATAAATTGTACATAAATTTAGAATTAAAATGTGATTGAAGCAGTGTATTCATAAGGACACTACCTGTACTTAACTGCTTCAACACCTAGTAGCTCCCACTTCCTCAGTGGAATGTTTTTGGGTGAACAGGGTTGAGCTACTCCTCACCCTTATCAATAAAAAAATAAAATAAATAAAATATCTCTACCTCTAGGCTAGGTAAGTAAGCACTCTGGTCTAGTAGTCAAGATGCCTTGTAAGAGTGTCTATAAAGGCTTATTCTCAAGTTCTACCACAACATAAATGCTGAAGTTTTTTTTTTTGGGGTGGGGGGAGGGGAAGAGAGGAAGTGCCTTCACCCCTTAATCCCAAAGGGACCCTGGTGGCCACCTGGACTTGCTTTGTTCACATACGAACATGGTAGAAAACCCGCAAATTCAGGCTGCACTTGTATAATTGGAATGTGCATTTCTGGGCACCTAGAATAACATCCCCTTCCCCCTTCCAAATAACCTATTTCTGGAAGTGGCCTTTATCCATTCTTTATTAGATCCGCGTTGTTCCATCTCCTTTCCATTGAAATATAATTGGATTGTTTTTACATTCATACTTCAGTATCTATGATGTTAAAACCTGTGAATTATTGTCAATACATTTTGCCTATTATTACACAAATGGATTTTTTTTCTTGTAAATTAACTACAGTGTATTATTTCACATGTTTTACATAGTTACCAAAAAGCCTGCATTTTAAAACCTACAGTATTTATTTTGTCCAAGGGGATGGATTACTTATTAATGAGTATTGCCCCAGTGGTTAAATGACAAGAAAAGTGGTTGAAAATATTTATCTGTTATTGAAAGGTTGCTTTTTATATATCTCCATTGTGACTAGAATTTTGATAATTCTCAAGTTTTAACAGATTTATCAACAACCCTTTATTTAAACCCATTTATTTCTCTAAGGGAATGGATTACTTAACTAATGCGTAACTACCCCATGGTTAAATGGCAAAGATAATGGTTGAATATATTTATCTAAACATGTTCCTGTAGTCACATATCTGACATATACACCAGTGTGTTAAATAATGGGAAATATCAAAATGTGAATTTTTAGAAAACAGTTTAATTCACTTCAGCTGAGAAGCTGCCAGTGTTTATTTATTTCATTTATTTTTATTAAAATTTATTTCTAGAAGATGGCTCCTGCAGAGAGAAAACGCTCACAGCAAATGTGATTCAATATACGCTTTTACATTACTACAGTTCGTACATAATATTAATATCTAAACTCGATACCTGATTAAAAAATTAAGAACTCACCGGAAGAAAGAGATAGCGCTGACCCAAGAGCAGTTCATCAGAACCCATGCCCGAATATAGGTCTGAGAATCAGATACAGCTGATTGTCTGTTAGTAGATCGGAACTCCCATCCCTCAAGCAATGGCAGCGCCAGTGATCGCTTAAGACCCCTGTTAAATAGGTAACCCTATCAACCGTTACTCATCAGGCCAAAAATATTACAAGGCATACATGATAAGAAGTTTGAGAACATCTTAAAATAGTGAAAATTTGCCCATTTTTTCTTGGATACAGAGAGGCTTTTCCCCTATACCCCACTTGTCTCATTGGAAAGTTTCAGACTCCTCTTACGAAGTGTTAGACCCCTATCTAGCGAGATCACATTCAATTCAATCTTTATTGGTCCAATGTGTGTGTGTATATATATATATATATATATATATATATATATATAATCAAAAAATCTTTGTTTATACAGTGTATACTGTATAAAAGGTTAAAAATTCAATAGAATTCAAGTGAAAAAGTTGTACATACTGTACAATTTAATTGATATCTTTTCTTATTTTTTAAACATCTTTTCCTTTTCTGCTTACTGTAATTAGATGTTTAGATATCTCCATGATTTACACATTTTTGTCCCAGTGTGGACGGGGTGCTTGAAACATGGTTAAACTGTTTGGCCTTAAATAAATACGGAAAATTGTTGATGACTTAAGAGTTAAGACTGCATGGTATAGTATTCATGCAACATACAACATCGATACTAATGCATTAATTAGCATAATAATGAATATCTCGGAGATATAATGAAGGATACTCGTCTGCCTCTTAGCTGTACCTTAATTTTAGTATAATAATCAAGCATAATTGCAGTGGCGTATCTAAAGGCAGTAAAGCCATGCACTCCCCCTGAAAG